GGTGTACCTGCAGTCTCCATGCTATATGTAGCCATGGACCATGGGCTGGTAACTGCAGACATGAAATTTTAAAATCCATGCTTTTCGTTCTAGTTAATCTTTCAGTGGTATCCCCATAGAAACTGCTGCTTTTCAGGATTGTGGGAGGACACGTGGAGTATCCTAGTCTAAGAAACATGTAAATTGAAAGAAATGCAACAGAACTTTCTCCCAAGGAAATACTTCAACTGGAGAAGTAGATCCTCTGGAAAAGTGCAGTAGTAATTGCATCAAAACATGTATGAGCTGTACCTCAGTGCAGTCAACAATCTGCAGACATACCAGGGTGGATGTCTGTTGCTTACAGTCTGTAGTACTGTTACTCTCACTCATGTTCTTCTGACTGTACATGTGGATTGAATATGGTATCTTCATTTTTGTATGTGTAGTTTTATTGTTTCATTTCTTCTATGTATAATTAGCTGCCATCCTACACAAGCAGGCTAAAAATGGTTCCATGCCTTTGTGGTATTGGAAAAATTCTACATATCTTAAAGGGTCCTGATAGTTCAAGTTTTTTTTACTGTTCTAAAGCCTATCAAGTTAAAATCATGGCCCCTGCTACCATTCCAAAATTACACCTTTTGCTTATGTTGAAACTTTTTATAGGAAAAATCATATCAAGAGGTTGCAAAATAAGAGAAGGGAAAATAGGCTGCTTTGGTTTTAGGCATATTTAATAAGTGCCTTGCTGTTCTGTAGTGTGTTATCATGGGTTAATGATGTTTCTTGGACTACTCTGACGTCTTTATTGATCACATTCTTATACTACACATTCTAAATACACATTGAGTGAATCTATGTGTTCGCTTTACTGCGGAGTTGACTAATTAGCTCTGCAGTAAAGTGTCACCATCTACATGTATGGTGGTATTAGGGCACAGTAAATTAATTAACTCCACTGTAAGAGTACTATCGGGGACAGTACTATCCTATGTGGAGAATTTTACTTCACCAAAATGTATGTGTAGATAGTGACTGGGGCACAAGGGTGCTAAAGTATGGGGGCTGCTTGCTACCTAGTCCTGCACTTTAGCTTTAGCACCCTTTTGCCCTAGCCAGCCCTTCCGCCACCCAGCGCTGCTCTGAAGAGGTGTAATCTATTGAGTTACTCCATGTTTCCTAGATTCTATAAATTGAAATGCAAGATAAAATTTCTCTTTGAAAGTGTATTAGTTTTAAAAATGACCGTTTATCCATGGGCATAAATCAAGAATAGCCTTGAACACAACGGCTAAGAAGTCATAATTTATTTTCCAAAAGAAAGCCTACCTTATGGAGTTAAGGATTACTATAATATCATCGCAATACAAAATGTGCAAGTTCACTGAAGTCTTCATCAGGCTTCTACACTGCAAAACTCTTGCAAGCCCAAAAATCTTTCTTTTAGGCCCACTCTACATGTGAAGCTAAAGTCACAATTCATGATCTCAGGCTCCCTCTGCACTGGCAAGCTCCCATGGTTGGGAGCCCATTGTACCCCATATGGGGGGCTCCCAGCCACAAGGGTGCACCCCTGGGACTGGAGGATTGCCCCTACAGTCATTCCCTGCCCCCCCCAGGAGTGCAGGAAAACCCTTGGCCAGAGGATCGCTGCAATCCTCTGGCCCCAGGGGTTTCCCACAACCTGGAGCCCTACAGCTTGTGACAGCCACAACCCCAGGGGCCGGGGATTTCCTGCATTCCCGAGTCCTAGGGATTACTGAAGCCGCAATCCCCAGGGCTCAGGAGTGCAAGAAATCCCAGACCCTGGTAATTGCAGCTGCTGGGATCCCTAGGACTTGGGGGTTTCACTCTGGGCATGGTGCCCCCCTGCAGCTGGGAGCCATGTCAGCTAATGGGTCTCCCAGCCACAGGGGAGACCCTGTTACACGTGCAAAATAAAGCTCAATAGCAATCAGCTATAAAGTTAGTACACGTTTTTGAGGTCTAACTTGATAAATAGTTGGAGCTGCTTAGTTGTGTTATAGCTACTTTTCACGTGTAGCTGGTTTCATATATATCTATATATATATATATATATATATGAATACTTATAACCAATAGAGGGAGCCTTAGTGTTGATGCAGGCTTCCTTCAAGTGGAAGACCTTAATGCTGTAACTTCATGTGGCTTACTGATCTCATTTTTCTTTCTAAGACTTGGCTAACATTTAATGCTACCTTTGCTTAGATTATTCTAATTTTCATTAAACTATGTAATATAACTAACATTGAAATTTTACTCTTATGCCAATATAAATCAAGAGTAACAATCTTTATTTACCTCAATCATGTTGTAAAGCTAAATATTGGAGATGCAAGGGTTTTTGTGGGTGATGCCTTTTACTGGACCAACTGCGTGGTTGGGCAAGACTTAGCCAAGCTTTTGAATGCAGTGCATTCTTCTTTAGATTGCATCATGGCTACAGCACCACTTTGGTACTGCCAAAGATAAATACCATATTTACTTGATTCTAAGATAAGGTCCCCCTCCCGCTCCCCATTTAACATGGTTGGGAGAAAGCACCTCTTCTTGGAATCGAGTATAAGGTCAGTTGGGTGGGACAGGTAACTGCTGCAGCTCTGGCTATGACACTGGGTCAGGTCCAGAGCTATAGCTGCGTCCTGCCCGCTCCCTCCCCACCCCCCCCCAAATCACCACATTCAGGAGGTACATCAAGTGACTCTTTGTAAGCATAGAGATGATTATATGGAGTTCAGTGCGGCTTCCAAAAGCCATTACAGGTCTAAGCTGTGGAACTTCTTGGTAGAAGTTTTTTTTAAATGTTTGTTTAGTTGTACCTTGTTATACAGGTCTCACCATTGATGGCACTTGAGTTTGGCCTATTCTTCCTTCTTCTAGAAGAAAGAGGGCATATGATATAAAAAATGAACATCACAATCCAATATTTTTTTTTAATTGGGATCCCGTAGATGGTGAAGATGAAGGGAAAATAATTTTCACAATAATAATCTTCATGTTTAATGTGCACATGGTATAGAAATGTTAATTTAGATAGATCACCCAATTAAGTGTTGCAGACGTCACCTTGTGGTGTTAAAAATGAAAGTTGTCATATAGTTGGGTTACTGTTTTCACCCAGATCCAAGACTATTTCAATTTAAGACAACCCCTTAATAATTAGATTTTATATATGGCAAATGTAAAAAAAATATTATAACTTTCCATGTCTATAATCTAATTAACAGAGAGCTGTCTTAAATGAATTCTCCCACTGCTGCAGCAGAGAGGCATGCAGTGGCAGGGGGACATGAATTAGTGGGGCAGGCAACCTCCTTGCCCTCTGCAGCTTCCATTTCCCACGGACTCTTTTCTCCCCCACCCCTACCACAGGGTCTCCACAGCCTCTACACCCTCCTTGTTCTGTTTACTATTAGACACAGCTCTGGCTCCATTCCCTCCTGGGCACTGAGCACATGGAAGCTCAAGCTCCTGCCTGGCCATGCAATGGCAGTAACTCTGACTACAGGAGGTTGCTGCATAGCTGGGCAGGGGTTGCAGCTTTCACGTGTTCTGTGCCCAGGAGGGAATGGAGCTGCACCTGACAATAAGCAGCAGTGGTGGGAGGGTGGGCAGGAGATAAGTGGAGGATGTGGGGGCAGGCAGCTGCTGTAGCTCTGACTCTGGCCCTGACTCAGGGTGGGGGCCAGAGTTGGAGTCACAGCAGCCACCTGCCCCACCCCACTCTGCCTTATACTTAAATCCAAGACAAGGGGCTTCCTTTCCACGTTGAATAGGGGGGAACTTAGTCTTTGATTTGAGTATATACGGTATTTGAGTTCTCCAGCTCAGAGAAAATTATATTTATGGGAGTAATGATAATTAAGTTATTAAATCTTGGCTATGGGTCTTACTAAACGCATTGAGTCACTATGCACCAGAAATATAGTTTTGTACTTACCTTAAGTAGAAGACTGACAGCATTGGGTAATATGCCCCCTGAATTGTCCAAAAAAATACTTCTATAAAAACAACTGAAGTCTGATTCTAGAAAAATACCAGGTACAGTGATTTCTACAGTTGTGGGAGAATTCAGAGGACAAGATACCAAATTTTGGTATTCCATGAGCCTGTAAAACGAAAACATGCCTGTATTATGCATAAAACCCATTTATCCCGTGCATATCCTCAGTAATCTCAGTAGGCTTCAATAGAACTATTTCTCAGTCTGCATTTTAATTTATAAATATCATTTTAACTTATTTTTCTATTTCTGTTGTCTTCTCTAGATTGAAGTTGAATAGCAAAAGAAATCATTTGGTTCGAGAACTGGAGGAAACAACAAGATTGGTTGCAATGTTACACACCCAGCTGAAGAGGTAAGTTTTTAGCCTTTCATGGAAAATATGCAGATGCTTTGGACTCATGTCCATGCACTCATGCTTTTTCCCTTTTCGTGGTGCTCCAATAAAATCTTTAGATGCTGCTGGGGAGTGGGGGAGATGAAATAATTCATCACAGCTATGCAGCTAAAGGCCTGATTCTTAGATACATATGTGTGTGTATCGATGTCACCCATGACACATGCATTTTTAAAACTTGGATTGTAAATTTACACTTCTGTCTGTAAGCATACACACTGTGTTTATAGAATATGTGAAAGTATTCTGAAAAAGTGTCAAGAATATATTTTGAGAACTAAAATGAGCTCTGTTCAGACTATTTTTGAAAGGGATGAAGTTAGGTTTGAGACCAACTGCACACATTAGAATAAAGTCTTCCTTAGATACAACTGTGTAATTGGCCAGTCTCATCGAGGAAAAAAGGTTTCTATCAACCAGTCGTACTGAGCTAACACTGTCCTGTACTTTTCTTCTTGGAATTTGTTCAGAGGTGTTTTCAATGGAATATGATACTAAAAAGATTAAAAAAAAAAAAAGAAACTTTAAAACGAGATTAATATGCTCTATAGAAGCTTCATTGGACTGTAGTTGGCTTTTTGTGGTTCTCCTATGTAGCAGAACGTTGTTGTCATATGTGCATTTCCTGCATGGTAGGGACCTGCCAATTCAGTGAGAAGAGTGTATAACTTGTTTGTTTACACTCTTTTTTTTTTTTTTCTGTTTCTGCCATATGTTTGTCTGGGGAAGAAACTTTTTGAGCATGGCATGAACGCTTGGGTGAATGCATTTGTAAGCATAATATCACGCTCAGCCAGACTTATTGCAAGCAAGAAGAAGGAAGATTCAGTTTTAAAAATGAAATTTAGAATTTATACTTTGTGGATAGAGTATGTGTAAGTGTAGACTTGCATGCTGCAGTCTCCCTTGTAATAGTCATGTTTTGCACAGTGGTTATGTTATCAGAAGACTGATTCGCTATGCATCTGCCATCTGAATGCATAAGGCAATGTTTGCTGGGGCTACATAAATTCTGTATACCAGAAGTAGGCAATTATTTTGCCTGGAGGGCTGCTTAATGACTTGTGGTGATCTGTGGAGGGCTGCAAGGGTAGCTCCACCCCCTGACAGGTGCCCCACCCCCTGATTGCAGTCTTGGGGCTGGAATTACCACCCCTTAACTCCTGACCTTTGCCACCAGAGGTCCTCTCCCCTTGCCCCGGAAGTACTCCTTTTGGGAGTGGGGTGTGCCATTATGGAACCAGAAAAACAACAAAATTAAAATATGTTATAGTAGATGGTTGATTTTTAGTTTATGATTTATTTTAAAAAATATTTTTTGCCATGATTTACATGCGTTTGCATAGTGTGTATAGAGGTAATTACATAATAGTTCAAAATAGTCTTGTTCTTGTATTGTGGGTGGTGGTGTGATGGGTACAGGTATGGGGAGGGTTGGGGGGCTGTGAAGGAGTTTGGGGGGTTGAGTGTGGGGGGGTGTGGGGTTTCTGGGTGGATGTGGGCTCCCTTACCACATGCCCCCCCTTGGTTGCACAGCCCTTGCTGTGGGTGGCAGCAGCAGGCTGTTGGAGTGTTCCTGGCCCATAGCAGACAGAGCACTCGGGCAGCACAGGGCTCCAGCTGAACCTGGGAGCTGCATGTGGTACGTCGAAGCTGGCCCGGCCCAGCCTAGCCCACTGGCATGTGCCTTTAATCCAGACCGGGCTAGCTCCGTACCAGTACATGGAGCTCCCAGCACAGCAAGTAGGAGCCATGCACCATCAGGCCAGGCTGGCTCCATGCCTCCACACGGGGATTCCAGCACTCCAGTGGGGAGCCACACAGGGAGGCATAAAACTTGGCCAGCCCAATGGCACAGGGACTAGGAGTCGTGCGCTATCAGGCTCCGTGCTACCATGCTTGGCTCCCCGCTGGAGCCCTGGAAGCTACACATGGGGCCATGCAACCAGCCCAGCCCAGACTGACGTGCAGCTCCTGCCTGCAGTGCTGGGAGCCCCATGTACTGGCACAGAGCCAGCCTGGTCCTGATCAAATGCGAGTGAAATGGGCCGGGTGGGCTCTGTGCTGCCACATGCAGCTCCCAGGATTCAGCTGGAGCTGCATGCTGCCAGGGGACTCTGCCTGCCAGGAGTGCCCTGAGGGCCTGCCACCTGCTGCTGACAATGCAGTGGGGGCTTATGTACCAAGGCAGGGGGACCCTCCCACATCCCCCTCACAACCTCCCCACTTCCAGGCAAGACCTCCCCTCCCCTTTCACCATCTATCCAGTTGCACTCCATTGTGCTTGGTGCCTCCACGTGGGGCTCCTAGCTGGAGTGTTGGGAGCCCCATAGAGGCAGAGTTACGGGGCCCACCCAGTTTGACGGTGCATGACTTCTGAAAGCCCCTGCCTCCCACTGACTTTCAGAGGGCAGCTGCAGGCTGGTAATTGTATTTTGGACAGGTCCCATGGGCCAGATAGGATGGCCTCGTGGGCTGGATCCAGCCCGCAGGCCATATTTTGCCTGCCCCTGCTGTATACTCTTCTTAAAAGAATGCAGTTATGGTTCTGATTAATTGAATATAGCTTTTAAAATGTGATGCAGTTCAACTATCCTATAAAGGCAGGTTTATTAATATTATCATATAAATAACTCTAGTCCATGTTTTTAAATAGCAAATAAGATGTGAAATATGGATAAAAGGCTCTATTCTGTGAATGCTAGCATTTATAATATTTACAGTCTTGAGTAGTTTCATTTACTTAAGTGGAACTCTAGGATAATAAGCACTTCACTTGGTAGTTGAGTATTTGCAGGTTAAGACGTGAAGGAGCCTCTCGCTAATAACATGCCTACAAGATACTATTGGGTCAAAGGTGTAATAATTATCTGTTGATTTTAGGATGATATTCTGTTTTCCCTTATGTGATGCTCCTCTAGAACGTGCATTTGTACATCCTGTCTGATTTTAGTGAAGAAATATGCAAGACCAGTGCTCTGGCAACAACAGAACCATTTCAAATTACATGCTTTACCCTTTCATATTTCCTTTTCTTAAGTAAAACTTGGAATGAATTTAATGCTCATGAAAAGAAAGGCTCAGAAGGCTGTTTAAAAAGTAGGCATAGTGCAAGCTTCCCACACACACATCTGCCAGTGTGTCTCTGTCCAATTTATAAGCATCCTCTGCTATTTCACTTCCGAGTCTCTTCCG